TCTCTCTCTCTCTCTCTCTCTCTCTCTCTCTCTCTCTCTCTCTCTCTCTCTCTCTCTCTCTCTCGCTCGCGCGCGCGCGCGCGTCCGTGTTGATATGTCTGTGTGTGCGTGTGTGCATGTGTGTGAGAGTAAGCATGGGTGTACTTGTGTGGAAGTGGGTTGGAATGTTTGTGCATGAGTAGTGTGTCGCATCGCCGTGCTGGACCCCATGTTTTGGCAGAGCGTCGCTGCGTCGACGCTCTTGCTCTCGCATCGTACCACCTTCAGATATCATCGTGGAGCTGGACGGCCCCAGGTAATCCATCTAGTGGGGACGGATTCAAACTCAAGTCTGTATTTGAACAGTTAATAGGTGCACCAGCTGAGAGGCCTATCCGTCGCATGAGGAGGTTTTTGCCTTTTTTTTTCCTTTGAAGGCGACGGCCTTGAGGTATGATTTTCGAACGGACTGCCCCCCGGTATTTCAGAATTTCATCCACTTGCTTTGATCCGGACTCGCACTCAGATCTGTATGTCAACAGTTTTCTTTCGGGCACTGACACCACGGAAATAAACGCGAAAGCGGCCCACGTGCAACTGACACCGCGCCGCATTGAAAAAAAAAAAAAAAAAAAAAAAAAAACTGCTGCCACCTGCCACAACTGACAGCACCGAAAATGAACAAAGGCCACGCTGGCGCCACGACTGTCACCACGAACTGAGGCGATCCTTTTCGATAGCCAAACTCTACCTCCGCCGTCCAGATTGCCATGAAGCAAGGACAGAAAAAGAGCAATTATGTGGCATGCAAGGGAGCATCAACAGTTATCCAAAGGCCAAACATCCGAGATCAGCAAGAAATCGGCACGCTCCGTACCCCGACGGCCCACTTAGCTATAGAGTATAGTTCTATGTTGGCCGCCGCCCAGCCCAGCACGCCCGGCCAGGCACGCCCGGGCCAGTTGGGCGGAGGTGGGGTCGCCCAGCCAAACCAGACGGGTCAAAAAGAGGCACCGATCAGACTTCAGGCCAGGACTGCGCTTGGCCTAAGCAGTCAGAATCCCGTCTTAACTTCGGTTTTGGTGATGGGTCATCCAGGGGGGGTTGGGAGGGGTATAAACAGTGACTAAAGGGCTTAAAAGGGTACACGTGGACTCATGTTTTCTCATTTATTTTTATCTTGAAATTAACAAGGAATTTCGAGGTGGCCCTCCACCAAAAGTCGAGGTGGCCCTCAGCCAAAAGTCGTTTGTATTGCAATTTTACACAACATATTTGTTTTTGGATTTTTAAATCATTTTTTTGATTTTTTTTCTTTATTTTTAAAAATATTATGCGCTGGGATCACCCGGGACTGAATTGGAATCGTTCCTTAGAGACAAACTCCAATTAACACTGAGTACGGACAAAACCCATTTTACCCATGTGTCGAAAGGAGTACCTTTCAGGCGCGAAAGCGCATAAGAATTTGACTGTCTTTGCTGATACTGCTAAATACATCAAAAGACTTCAAACCTTTTAAAATATTATGCGCTGGGATCGTCCGAGACCCTCCCCCGGGAGGGTACCTGGGCGACCTTTCCCCAGCCGGGCCCCCCGCGAACTAACACAGGTAAAGTTTCGATTTTGATTGATGTGGCTGGATTCAGCCCCATAGTCACTATTCCAAATCCTAGATATCGATTATGAATTGCAATGAGCCACATTGGCAGCCCTTATCGTCCGTTGTTATCCAACGAGCAACAATGGTGGTAGGTAAAGGGGGGAGGGGGGGGCCAGGATGCGCATTGGGAACAAGGGGGAAGGTGCAAGACCGTGCGAAGGGATGGAAGGGGAGAATAGATGATGAAAGACATGACAGTTTGACTCGCGAGGTTTTCATGAAGCTGAAGATTTCATTTGCCTCAACCGATAGATGCCTGGAACGTAAACTTCAAAAGGGCTTTGAATCCCCTTTGATGATGCCACATTTGCTTTCGAGTTTCGACACATTGGGTTGCAGCAGTAGAGTATCAAGTACTATCAATCGAATCAGGAACACGGGGTTGAAATTCTCGACACCTCAACAAAAGTCGGTTCTCACTCAAAAAGGAGGGGAGGCTTTTAGTCAAAGACATCTAAAAACTGATGCTGCATTCTACCTCCTTATTCAAAAAGTGTGTTTGCGGCCCTAAATACGCTTTGGATGAACGGCAACCGTCACTACCTATGTAAAACTCCACTGCTTCCTGTCGACAAAAAGTCATGCCATGAAGGAGACTGTTACTCTCTCTCTCCAATACCAGCATCTTGCGGGATGCAAGACCTAAAATGACCCGTGAACATCTTATCGAGGAAAGAAGTGTCCGATCACACTCCTTCGCCGGTACAATGCACCACAGGAATGCTTCGGCAGCACGCTTTCGCGGGCTGGTCAACCTGACCAAGCAGGCACCGCTTCGTGCTGCATCTACCCCTCCACCTCTCTCTCTCTCTCTCTCTCTCTCTCTCTCTCTCTCTCTCTCTCTCTC